AATTTGTCACACAACTTGTAAATATTTCTTTTAGTTCAGCCACATGAACTTAATTTTGTTCCTTTGGTGGTGTCATGTCTCCTTGATTCTTCATATTTTTAAAGTTTTGTGTTGAAAGAAGCAGTCCCGTTTTCAAGTCTTTACTACCTGTCTTCAATGGAGGCCTTCACAAGTCAGCTTAACTAGAGATTTTGAGTGTCTCTCAGGCTTTTTTTATGGGTATGCCCACCCCACTGCTCTTTTATCCTGCTATGAGGAAGTCCTGGGACTGTGTGTCTTCTCTTGATCCTGTTAAGGCAGGCCAGGTGTTGAAACCCTCCTCTTTATTTTTCAAATGGCAATGCTCTGACATATTTAGTCTTGTGTGCCTTTTCCCAGTCCTGCAGCATTGAGCTAGCTGCTGATATACATGCACTCTGTGTGGGGATTTGCTCACACCATCTCAGGAGTGCATGTAGAATGACGAAGGTTCATATTAGCCAGTAGGGGACACTGCCGGTGACGTTTTTCCATAGAGTTCACAGGTGGGCCTCTTATGGAGTCCCTAAGCCACTTAGGAGGATATATGGCCATATTTTGAGATCCGCACAGTGGTTGCCTTGAAGTCGCATCCTTTCCTCCCTGTTCCTGTTCCCCCCAAGACTATTTAGTCATGCCAGTCACCTCAGAAATCTGATAATGGGAAGACCAATGTAAGCCTCTTGGTTACCATTCCATAAAATTGGGGAAACTAAGTCCACACTCAGCTCTCACTTTCCCCTATGGGAGAAATCATGGGCCTGGGGGATCTCCCTTAGCCATAGACTATGCTGCCATAGAAGAGAGTGATGTGGGTAAAGTGTAACTGTTCTTACCCACTTAGTGTGTTTATCCTCAATCTTTTTTTTCCTTGAAAAAGGTTCTAGAATCTCTCCACTATGCAGTTCCTAGATCATTTTTAAAATCGATGTTGCTGTGGGGGTGTGAGGGCTGGAATCTCCTATTCCATTATTTTGATCTTTGTGAGTTTTTTACTTTATTTTTGTTTGTACAAATTCCCTTTAAATACTAATATCCCTCTGTCCTAAAAAGTTATACCTTGTAAATATGTAAAAGAATTACTCAGCCTCATACTACTGTGCTCTAATCAGTTAAAGGCCTAATTCAATTATTTTAATTTGGCATGAGGACAATGGTAAATATAAGCATACAGATAGGTACTGAGATTATATAGTTGTGTAATGAGTCATAAAATGGCCATCTAGATAATTCAGAATATTCAGTTTTCCATTTGTATCTATGGAGGATTGGTTCCAGGACCTCCCATAGACACCAAAATCCATGAATACTCAATTCACTGATATAAAATTGTATGTAAATGTGGTATAAATAGTTGTTACGCTGTATTGTTTAGGAAATAATGACAAGAAAAAAAAGTGTGCATATGTTCAATAAAGACACATTTTATTCCAAATATTTTGAATCTAAGGTTTGTATTCCATAGATGTGGAATACAAGGGACTGACTATATTTATATTTTACATATATAAAACTGCTCAGAGAGTTCACACTCCCAGAAATTTGCCATGGATCTCAGTTTAAGAAACACTGTGCTAGACCAGTTTCCCAAGAACATGTTTTATTTCATAGATACCCTAATCACATCACCTAACTGGAACATACTGGGTACTAGTTAAATGTTTGTTTATTTAAAAATTTCAAGAATTTAAAGCAGCCTAGATGTCATAGGAAACCATTAAATAGGAATTTTCTAAATTAGCTCAACTCTTTTGTTCTTATGTTTCTCCAAAGTCCAAATATCTTTCACATACAGCTGTATTTGTTTGTTCTTACATTGCTATAAAGAAACATCTGAGACTGGGTATTTTATAAAGAAAACAGGTTTAATTGGTTCACGGTTCTGCAGGCCATACAGGAAGCATTGAAAACTCCCTGAGGCCTCTTCAAAAGTAGATGCTGCCATGCCAGGAAGTATGGCAGGAAGCATGCCAGGAAGCATGGCAGCATCTGCTTTTGAAGAAGCCTCAGGGAGCTTTCAGTCATGGCATAAGGCAAAGAGGGAACAAAGTGAAAGGCACTTCACATGGCTAGAGCAGGAAGAAAAAGATGGGAGAGGTTTACACACTTTTAAACAACCAGATCTCACAAGAACTCACACACTATTGTGAGGACAGTACTAGGAAGGAAATGTGCCTCCATGTAGCCTCCTTCCAGGCCCCACCTCCAACACTGGGGATTACAATTCAACATGAAATTAGGGAAGGGACACAGATCCAAATCATATCAATGGCTTTCAAATTTATCACTCCATTCCAGCTAACTGGATGGGAAAAAGAACATGGAAGGTTTTGATGGGCCCAGGCTAGTAGTGGTAAATAGCACTTTTGCCCTTACAGTGACTCAATTTCTATTACATGGCTACCCTGCAAGAAGTACCATAGTTGTAGTCTAGAGGTCTACTAAGAAAAAGTTGAAAATTTGTATTTTGATCAGCAGTCATATATGCTGCAGAGCTTCAGGTAGCGTGGTCACCACCAGTAGTACGTAGGACAAAGAGTACATGTATTAGTCAGCGCAGGCTCTGGAGTCAGTCTTTAACTGGAATCCAAGTGATGTCATTTCCCTGTCACTTCCGCATGAATAAAATGGATATTTTACACCTACTCCCTGGATTTGGTGATAAGATTAAATGAGATGATTGATTCATTGGACTTAGTACCTAGCATATGACCATTATTAGACAATTGTTATTTATTTTTATTAATAATTACCAGATACTATAATTGGCATGTGAAATAAAGCTTGTTTTCCATCTCTGCTTGGGAGAGCAAAAGTATTGATGAAACAAGCAAAATGTCTTCATCAAAAGAACCATAATATTTTATATAAATGTTTTCTACATAATAAAGTAAACTTGTATTTATATAAAATCTTCCTGGACTTCAATAATGAGACTTTTAATTTGAGGTCTAAGCAACAAGATAGGAATGTGTGATATAAACCATGCCACTCTCAGCACATCTTTGACTCAAATATTTTGGTAGAATTATCTGTACCTATATCTCTCATAAATAATTATTGAGGGAGAAACATATGTAAAGTTGAAAATCACACCCATGTCCCCCACTCCAATTTGGCAATATTCTAACTGAACTGTCAGCAGTATGGATATCAAATTATGTTTTTTACTGTGAATTAAACTGAATTGGAAAATCCAGCTTGTATGTATAGTCAAATTGACTCCTAATGCCTTCGCCATTGAATGGACTGGCAGTACTACAGACTCATCCTGTGCCATCACTCCACTGGGGGCTGAGCCTGCCATCATAAACCTCACTTGTGAATGCTTATTAAGTTGAAGGCCTAAAAGGCCATGAATGCACAACACTTTTTCTCAGTTCACCAATCACATAGTCATTCCTGTTTTCTTAGGGTGAATTGATAAACAGGCAAAGATAGTTGGAAAATTACTTTTTGTACTTTGTGACTCAATAGGGCAGACATTCTATGTCTTGGCCATAGAAAATGTAGTAGGGGTAGAAAATTGTTCTCACTGATATTCTCCCTCCCAGTAACATAAATATGTGATCTATAGTCAATCCTTTCCAAGTATTTAAAAATTTGAGAGTAAACATTGCACTTTTAGATAATAATATGAAAGTGGTAATAATGATGCCTCAGGAAACAACACAATTCAGTGAGTTCAATCAATGAAATTCACTCTTTCCAAAAAAGAAAGGGAATAATAGAGGGCAAAACAACCTAGAAATAGGATCAGAAGATTATCATTAAAAATAAATATTACAAATATTTGAGAGACACCCTGGTTTATGTTATTTCTGTGACTGTCATTTTAAAAGCAAATATAGTGTTAGAAAAGTATTAGTAGGAATAAGATGCATAAAAATAAGTATATTGAGGATTCTTTCAACTCCTATGACAGTATTACATTCATTTCTGACAAGTAAGTACAAAACAGGATGTAGAAAAAACAGGAAGTTTCCATACAAAATAGAAAAATAAAATAAAATGTGCCAGGGCAGTGGATCATGCCTGTAATCCCAGCACTTCGGGAGGCCAAGGTGGGTGGATCACGAGGTCAAGAGATCAAGACCATCTTGGCCAACGTGGTGAAACCCCATCTCTACTAAAAATACAAAAACTAGCTGGGCGTGGTGGCAGACTCCTGCAGTCCCAGCTACTTGGGAGGCTGAGGAAGGAGAATTGCTTGAACCCAGGAAGCAGAGGTTGCAGTGAGCCAAAATCACGCCGCTGCACTCCAGCCTGGCAACAGAGTGAGACTCGGTCTCAAAATAAATAAATAAAATGCTAGAAGGCAACGCTGAAAAATAGAAAGTGCATATATATGCTTTGAAACACACAAATTTTGGTTGAAATATTAGCCCTGTGACATGTTAATTTCAAGACTTTAATGATGCTAGTTGACATCCCCTACACTCTTTGCTTTGTCCATAAAATGAGAGTAACTTCATATGGGTGTTGTGATAGCAGAGGTCACATCATGTTTGGCCCACGCTAACCACTCAAACATAAATAATTTCCTCACTCCCTGGGAAACATATTATTGAAAAAAAGAACTGGAGGCTGAAAGAAATGAATTTATTTGGAATTGTTTTGAATGAAAAGAGGTGATTTAGTGTACCCTCTCATCCAGTAAACAGTCTGTTAACACCCTGAAGAACCTGCACTCGAACAAACAGCCTTACATTGTATCAATTTTCATTTCGACTTCCTGGGAATGGAATAATACTGTAATAGGACGTAGGCCTTAGAAGTGTTCAGAAAATCATGCAAAACCATCATAAATATGTGTCTAAATAATTTGAGAATAACCCAATCTAATCCCTTATGCAAGTATTTTAATCTGTGTATGGCATGTCTTATTCACTTATCTTATGACTGAACTTCCCCAAATCGTTCTGAAACTATATGTGTCAATTTAATACATCTTAATTTCTAATAAATGTTTATTTTTATAGCTTTTACAACTGGGACACTAATATTGCTGTTTGTAACTCAAGTCCCAACTATCAAGTGATTGCTGATAATCCAGAAGGCTTACTTTTCAAATTCAAAAGAGACAGAAAAATTCTCAATGTCGACCCAAAGGTAACTCTGCTTTTATACTTAGATATCTCTTAACATATTATTGTATTTCTGCCATTATTCAAAAATCTATTAAGTATGTGACACTCCTAAGTTGTTAAATTTAGAAAGGAAAAAACATTTTGAAACTTAGAGCATATACTACCTTTTAAAAAACACTCTAATGCTTCATAAATTATTAGAAATTAATAAGAGAACTCACAAGTGGAAACACTTCTTTTTTTAAAAATATATATTTTATTGCGTTTTAGGTTTTGGGGTACATGTGAAGAACATGCAATATTGTTGCATAGGTACATACATGGCAGTGTGATTTTCTGCCTTCCTCCCCAGCACCTATATCTGGCATTTCTCCCCATGTTATTCCTCCCCAACTCCCCACCCACCACTGTCCATCCCCTAGTTCCCCCTCCACAGACTCCAGTGTTCTCAGGAAACTGACACAAGAACAGAAAATCAAACACTGCATGTTCTCACTCATAGGCGGGTGCTGAACAATGAGAACACATGGACACAGGGAGGGGAGCATCACACACTGGAGACATTTCTTAATGTTTGCATTGCACCAAGGAGTCAGTGGGCCATGCATGTGCTTCCCCTGATCCTGGAGATATCCAGCTGCTTGTTGCTGTTAGTTAGAAAAGGGAGACTCTTACCTTACATTTGTACTCAGAATTCTAATACCCCTCTGTGTATGTGACTAACAATAAAAATTGGATAGTTCTTAATGTATTTCTAAGTGTTAATTTGGAAAACACTTTTACTTAAATATTTTAAAGACATGTCCCATGACATTTTGAATTTGTTCAAAGACAAATATTTACATCTTGCATATATTCAAAGACTGCATTTGGATCATGACATTTTCTTACAATTTGTCATAAGTCTAGGAATGAAAGTTGAAACCTTGCTTGAAATCATTACATGTTTGAGTTGTATCAGTAGGTTTCATTTTGTTGTTGTTTTTTAATTTTGAAAACTATTATTCACATGACAGCATCACTCTAAAATCCAAATACATGAAAAATATTCCTTCATAGTAAAATAAATAAAAATGATGTGATACATATGGAATATAGGCAAAGATGGGGGAGTCAGGTTACAATAACTTTTCCAAAAGCTTTTAGAAAACCAAAGTCAAAAATCCAATCTATATATCATATCCACTTAGTACAGCTCCTTGCACCTAAAAAGTGCTAAGTGACCATGTGTTTGAAGGATTAATGAACAAAATTGCGTAGCAAGAAATAAATGATTACCTGAAATGAGATTTAGCCACGAATATCAGAAATGCTGACATAGTAACTTAGGCAGGATAGAAGCTGCTTTCTCTTCCATATGTAAGTCTAGATAGTGACAATCCAAGGTTGATATGACAGCTCTACAGTCATCTGGGCCAGAGTGGCCCTCATTTTCCTGGGCCAAGATGGATGTCCAGCCAAAACAACCACATTCAAAACATAATGCATGGATGAGGGTGAGAGGGTACAAAGAACATTCCCCTGCTGCCTTCAAAGGGAGTTTTCAAAAAGCTACCACACAAATGTTCACTTACGTTCCATTATAAGAAGTTAGTCTTACGGAGATGATTAACCACATGCAAAGCTGGGGAATAAAATCTTAATTCAAGTGGCATGCACCCAGCTAAAAACAGGTATTCTGAGAAAGGGAAAAGAGAGTTTAAGGAGCCAACTGGCAACTTCTAACACAATGCTATCTCTTTTGAAATAGTAATACTCTTTTTTGGTCTGAGGTTTCTCATTAGTGAAATGCTATTTATTAAATTTTCTGTACTTTGCCCCAACTGATCTCATTTTGGTTTTGTTGTTGTTTAAATTTATTTATTTTACTTTAGGTGCATACTATATCTGGCATTTCTCCCTGTGTTATCCCTCCCACCCTCCCGTCCCTCCCCACCCCCCGCTGTCTCTCCCCTACACCCGCCAACTGCCCCCAGTGTGCGATGTTACTCTCCCTGAGTCCCCGTATTCTCATTGCTCAACACCCACCTATGAGTGAGAACATGCGGTGTTTGGATTTCTGTTCTTGTGTCAGTTTGCTGAGAAGTAAAGAGGAACCAGTATGAAGAAGTAGAGTTGATAAACTACTCTGGTATTCATCGAGTCATAATAAATACGGCCCTAAAACTCTGATCCAGTACTTCATTTCACTTTCTTAGAAGTCTGAACTATATAAATAAGAAAAGATTTTAAATTATTAACACTCTTGTTAACATGCGTAAAAGAAATATTTGAATCGATTTTGAATGACATCATATTTAAACTATTTTAGGGCTGCATTTTAACTAATGGCATATTTCAAGAATGTATGCCATGAATTGTAGCTTTTATGGTCTTTGGGGAATCATTATTGAATGTGAACTGTTGCTTAAACATGGTTCAAATAATTTTTAACTAAAACTCTTACTTCCCAAATAGTCAACTATGAGATTTCAACATGACATATAACATTTGTCTCTTTTCTTCTGAAAGAGTTTTATTAGAATTTATGATAAATTTGAAGAAAAAATTTTCTAACTCTTGAAGAAAGAAAAAGCATTTGATTAATGAGTGATAAGAGTAAGAATTATTAGGTGAGACATCCAACAACATTTGGATACATATATTTCTTTAAATTTTAATTTTATCTTGTGGAAAACAAAAATCAGTAGTAGACTTAAGAAAAGAAATGTTGGTCTCAGCATTAATAAACAGAGTTTTAGACTTTACTGTTAATTGGCTGCATGACCTTAATAAATTCACTCAACTTCCCTGGGTTTTAGTGGTCACAATTAGAAGATACACGGTTTTTCTGTTGTTGTTTTTGTTTGTTTTGTTTCTTTCTGATATATAGAGTTCCTTTAAAGCACCAGGCCCAGTTTTCAGAGATTCTGCCCCAACTGGGACCAGAAGTACAGATTTTAATAGGCAGCCAGTATGAATCTGCTGCAGGTTGTTTACAAATTGCAATTTGAGAAAAATTTCCATAAAAAGTCAATAGTCCAAAAAATGTGTCAATCTGTTCTCAAAAATAGGTAGAAAAACCCTTAGATATTTTAATTATTATGGACCATATTCACCTCTTCAACAATCCAAGATCTTTTGTATTTTGTGCATCCAACATAAGATTTCTTATAGACCTACAGAAGAACCAAGAAATAAGCAAAATACATAGTGATAGGAATTACATTTTTATATTCAATAGTTTTTTTAGCAATTTTAATTGAAATTCTTCTTAAGGTGAACATCTCACAAATCCAGTAAAGTGCTATAAAATAATATAAAAGAAATTCAGCTCTCCTTTTCTTCTCCTTAATGTATGCTCTTTGAAATACTTTATGGTTAAAATTAAAGAGGTCAAGATAAATGAAAGGTGGAAACAGTGATAAACAGGATGTGTTTACTTTGTACGACACAGATGTGGACTCATTAATTCTGAAGCATGTTTCCCATGAAAGGCAGTTGTTTAGGAATGGTAACAATGGAAAAAGAAACTTGTGCAGTTCTTACAACAAGTAATATGAGTTCATTGGTTAAGAAATTCCAAATGCAATAAGAGTTTGGTTGCATTAAAAACAGGACCACTGACTTTAACTTCCCTGCAGCTGTATAACATCTGGAACAAATAAGCCAAGTTTCTATTTTTGAGTGAAGAATGCTTGTTTGAGTGATTCACATCCACCAAAATGTTTCCAGTGTATTATCTTTAGAAGAATTAAATGGAAGCAGTTTGCACTCTGTCCAATATATTATCTGGACAAATTTTTAAAATAGGACTTTTTTTTTTTACTTTTAAAAAACATTAACCATGGGAGAATTTTCTTTGAGTCTTACCATAGCATATGTGGTCTAAAACTGGAGGAACCACTAATAAGGCGAGAGAGAGAGAGAGAGAGAGAGATTGTATACAATAGTTACAACAACAAAAAAAATTCTTGGTTACACCAGCTTTTCTCCACTTCCCCTTTCTGAGAGGCCATCACCTGGAAAAATGCCTTGCTAATGAATATTTCATAAATATTCGTTAAATTGATGATTGAATGGCTCATTCCCTCCAAAAGCAATAACAACAACAAGAAGAATACAGTAATTAAAAGTTAAGGAGTAAATTATGTTAGTTATTTGATATAGCAGTGATAGCAGAAATGGTATAGTCATTTCCCTCTATACTAACCCAAATAAGTCAGAAAAATTGCAAGATTTATTGCTGGAATCAGATTTCAGAGCAACTATGCAGAAATCTTTATTTTGGTCTATGCTTTCATACCTTCTTGTACAGTCTCCCAGGAATATGTAATTTAAACTATCTCAAATTAAGACTATTGAATTAGAACATGATTTTGATTTGTCAGCAGACTTCAACAGATTAAATGACTCACTCACAGTTACACAGTTAATTATTAGTAGAAACCATCAATGAAGTTTAAATATTATGAGACACATGGAGGAGGGGAAGATGAACAAGACTTTAATCTTTGCCCTTTAAGTGCTGTTAGTGTCTTTAGGGAAATAGGCAGGTTATGTTTTAACAACATTAGGTAGAAAGTGGTACATTGCACAGGAGATAAATACTTTGGGAATTCAGTGGAAGAAGAGATGATTTTTGATCTGGAGACAGGAGCTAGTAGAAAGGAATGGTGAGGGGAGAGCACTGGAGATAATCTTAAGTGCTAATGGAGGAAGTAAACTTTACCTGGGACTTAAAGGAAGATTAGGAATTGAACCACAGAGGGAGAGAACTGAACGCATAAGGAGGGAAAGGCAATCAATTCCAGGAATTAGACCTATTACCCAAGATAAGATTCACAGGTGTAAGTCAGACAAAAGAAAACCCAAGTAGTTCAATTTGGCTGCTGCATTGGCTTGAAAGGGTGAAGTGGGAATTAAGCCTGGAGAGGTCATCAGAAGCTTTGACTGCAGCACTGATCCAGAGCTTGTACTGGACTTAATAGAAAATGGGGAAATATGCCAAGGGTCTTGTGCAGGAAAAAGCAGGATGAAAGT